AAAACACCATTTGGAGGGAACCTTCCCTTTAAATGGTGTTTTGCAAGCGGAGGCTCCCCATACCTGATCTCCAAATGGTGAACTGAAGGGAACCTTCCCTTTAAATGGTGTTTTGCAAGCGGGGGCTCCCCACACCTGAACTCCAAGTGGTGAACTGAAGGGAACCTTCCCTTTAAATGGTGTTTTGCAAGCGGGGGCTCCCCACTAGGGTTGCCAGGTCTTGGTTGGAAAATACCTGGAGACTTTGGGGGTGGAGCCAGGAGAGGGTGGGGTTTGGAGAGGAGAGGGGCTTCAGCATAGTACAATGCCATAAAGTCCACCCTTCAAAGCAGCCATTTTCTCCAGGGAAGCTGATCTCTGAAACCTGGAGATCAGTTGTTAAAGCAGGAGATCCCCAGGCCCCACCTGGAGGCTGGCAACCCTACTCCACACACCTGAACTCCAAGTGGTGAACTGAAGGGAACCTTCCCTTTAAATGGTGTTTTGCAAGTGGGGGCTCCCCACACCTGAACTCCAAGTGGTGAATTGAAGGGAATCTTCCTTTTAAACGGTGTTTTGCAAGCGGGTACTGCTGTCACCTTCCAAGAGGCTGCGTCTGCAACATGATGAGGTCAATTCAGTGAGATGTCATCACGTTGGGGATGTCTTCTCCCCCCCCAGGAATGCCCCCCAAAGCCCCCCACCAATAGCCGGGTAGGACTTGTCAACCCTAGCGGGAGATCTCCAAGCACCACCTGGAGCTGGCACCACTATATTATACCCTCTTGGGGTCCCTCCCTTCTCCAAACTCTGCCCTCCCCAGGCTCCATCCCAGAAATCCCCAGGTATTTCCCAAGCAGGAGCTGGCAACCCTACTTAGGCTGGAGGAAATGCATCCGACCTATGGAGCTTTTCTCCAGTTTGTAGCTGGTCTGTTGGTAGAAGAGCCAATTAAACTGGTGGAAGACACCTTAGGACAGAAGAAGGCTTTCACTTTTGCTGAGCAGGCCAGCAGGATTCATTCCACTGTCTGTAACGTTCTGTGCATACCACAACATTTAACTTGGCCCAAACCACAAGATATACTATAGGCCCTCTGGCTGTGAAATCAGAAATGTAAGAAGGAAATGGCATGGTAGCAGGACTTACTAGTAAGCCAGTTTGGAGACTGGGAGTCTGAACATTCCCCAGACCCAAATTCCTTCACAAAATGGCATCCCAAGAAATCAAGTTCCTTACAAGGCCTTTATTTCTGCCACCTTTGAAGTCTTCCTCATATATATCTAATAAAGCAGATTTTCACCTTGCAAAAGCTTATAGACTCAACGAAGCAGTTGTGTTTCTAAAATATCAAATGGTTCTTTAATCTCTTAATAGTTAATAGTATCTTATTTTGTTTTGATTATGAGCCAATTTCCATAGCCATGATCATCATATGATAACTGTAACCACCATTTACTGTAACCACCATTTGATAAATGCTTAACACAGCCTATAACAAGCCAGCTGTTACAGCTTATTTATTAAATGGAGACAGTATCCTTCAGCAGAGACGAGTTTGAAGGATGAGTTCACATCTTCAACTTAAGCAGAGGCGATAGAATACACTTGATAATCTTATCACCAGTTTGGCACCTATTGAAAGATAATCACACAGTACAATAAGAGGTAATGATCCGTATTAACTGGCAGTAGAAGCTTCACACATCCTGTTTATCAAATGATATGTACAATTATCATGTGAATAAGATAATGTATAAAAGTAAGCTTTAAGTGTTTCTGATAATTACCACCTCATCAAATTTCACGAGGCAACCTTGACATTTTAAACTACATTGTTCCAAAATTTTGGTTCTATAAACAGCATTATCTACTATAATTGGGATTTTTTTTTTATTACTGCAGTACTGGTTCTGTAAAAAAAAAAGTATTCAGTTCTTGGCGTTTCAAAGGAGGGGGAAATACACAAAAGCAATTTATTCTATCCTAATTTCCAACTCCTCAGCATAATTTTACAGTGAACAACAGGCAATGAAAATTACCTCTACAGAGGAAGCCATTTCTGTGTGTTGTCTACATTTTCAAATTTATGGACAGAAGGATTTCTAATTAAGTCTGCTATAATTTCTTCCTCAGCATCTGCAAAACATCTTGGTGTAGAAAATACAAGCCCTTCCTCACGGAATCTCTAATGTTTTTAATGATTTTTCAGCTTCCAGCAGCAAAAAGTATCAGCGGGGCCTCATAAAATCAGCTAAGGCTGTTGTCAACATCGCAATCCCTCGTTCAACAGAAGCTTCCCAAAGTCTCCCCTTTGGATACTGTGACATTGGGAGCAATGTCAAGGCACAACTGGGGTTGCTTTGACCACAGTTCACAAGGCTATAGTTAGACACCCATTTTAGAAAACAGCCCAAGGAGCACACCCAGTCAGCATTTTTGGACACACAAGTATCTGACTCCTGACCACTAAGTGTCATCAAACAGAAAATATATGTTCAGACACTGGTTTGTGACAAGATCTGTCTGAAATCAACCTAAGACTGGGATCTGATTCATAAAGGTTTCATGTGGAGAAAAAATATGCATATCCCTACCTCTATACCATGCCAGTAACACATACAAATGCCTGATCTGCAAAATTCTTTCCATCTCAAAAACAGGAGAAAGTCTGTATAAATCAGGTACCCATATGGTCAGGCAACCACATGGAACATCTCATTCTATAACTCAGTGACACAGAGAGGGATTTGTTCTATTTTTCACCATTAGGGTTCCCAAGTCCGAGCGGCGCTGGAGCGGGGGACTCCAGTGCCGCTCCAGGAGTGCACTTGCAGCAATCACATCACCCAGAAGTGACGCGACCATGCCGGACATGCTGGGGGCGGGGCCACGACCATCCAAGGGAAAACCATAGAGTTTTCCCTCGGATGACCGTGGCCCCGCCCCCAGCATGCCCGGCGTGGTCGCATCACTTCTGGGTGACGTGCACATCGCGTGCTTTGGGGGTGGGGTTCCCCCCCGGGGCCCGATCCACCGGCGGCGGGGAACAGGCCTCCGGGGCGGGGGTTTCCCCACACCCTGGGGGGACTTGGCAAGCCTATTCACCATACAAAGAGTAGCATAAAACTGCCTTATACTGAGTCAGACCATTAGTTTATCAAGCTTAGTATTGTCCACTCCAACTGGCAGCAGCTTGCCTTAAGTTCTCAGGCAAATAAAGGGTTTCCCCCCCCCCACCTATTCTTTCTAGCTAAGGATGCCAAGTAGGGCTGCCAGATGGTCACTGCAGCCAGAGGAACTCCCATTCCTGCCCTGCATTCCTGGCCCTCAATGCAAAAGGTGGGTGGAGAAAAATGGAGGGGGGAATGATGTCAGATCCTCCCCGATACTCTAGGAACTCTATTTACCATACAGATGGGGGGATTCCTAGAACACTGTGGGGAACAGTGACTTCTAGGTCTTCACCCAAAAGTGATGTCAATGTATCAGTGATGCTTCCTCCTCCCAGGCCCCATCCCCAAACAGGTCCAAGGTATCGCAGGGAAGGGCCTGGTAGATGTAAACTGAAGGACTGAACCTACTTGAAACAAAGAGGCTTCATGACCAGTTGGGTAGCTATGCCTGGGCTAATCGTCATGTGGTTTCATTTTAAGACCCTCACCCTAATCAGATTCACAAACCACATCATTCTGGCCAATTAACAGAGGACAGAAGCATTAGCTGTTGTTTCTCTACCTGCATAATTGGAAAGACATCCTGTTTGACATTTAGATTTGCCACTAAATATCAGCTCAGGAGAAATTCAAGACAAATATGTAGGGTCCTCTTCAGACAAAGTATGTGAAGAGTTTCAAGGGAAGGCAAAAGAAACTTGACATGATGAATGATGTCACTCGGGGGAGTTTTTTTGCCTTTTCAGAACTGCTGTCAAATTTTAGCCATAGTGAAACATGAGGTGAATTTGGAGGGTCCCATTCAGATGAGAGATGTCTACAAAATTTGAAGTAAACTGAAATTATCTGAATAAGATTAATGAAATGTGTGGCATAGTAATATTAGGATGAGGCCATCTTTCTGATTCGTAGAAGAAGAGCTAGGGGAACTCATTAGCATAACTCATTAGCATATGCCACACCCCCTGACATCACCGGAAGTGTGTCATAAGGCCACACACCCCTGACATCACCGGAAGTGTGTCATAAGGCCACACACCCCGCCCCCAACGGTCCCGGCCACGGCCGCCGGCCTTGCAGCTCCACTGCCGAGCCCCATGAGGGGCCCGGCGGTGGACCTGCAAGGCCAGTGGGAGTGCAAGGAAGCCCCGCAAAGGCCCTCCCTGGCCCCAGGCAGGCAGGGGTGGGGAGAGGCAGGGAGGAAGCAACTTACCCTCCCTCTTCTCCTGCCTCCTCCTGGCTGAATGAGGGCCGGAAGCAGGGCGGCCGGAAGCGGGGGGCGGGGCTTCGTCATGTCCCCCGCCCCCCGTACCTCACCCGGGGGAACTGCAATCCCCCGCGATCCCCCCGAAATGACCTCTGTTTGTATCCACTCCTTCACTGGCTTTCTCCTCATATTTACCCACTATTTTCAGACAAAAAGTCATGACATATTCAATTCAATCTCAGTTGGTAGCACCACTTCAGTGATGAAGTGCAAAACAGCAGCCATAACAAGAGCTCATAAAATATACCCCTTCTATTTGTACAATTTAATCTTGAGTCTATCAAATCTTGCAAATAATCTTGCTGCCCCACCATGCTGCATTCTAAAATGGTGTCCCTGATCATGACAGATGAGATCCTTTCTTCCTACATTGCACCTTTGAATAGCACATCCTTCCTCAAGGGACATCCAGCCGTTACTAAATCTTTTCTTAGATTCAGTTATCAAACGGCCCTTGAATTAGCTCGACAGCCCAGAAAGATAACCATTAAAAGATTTTATCTCCAGGAAATGGAAGCAAGGAACACACTTTCACAACTTTCAAACTTCTGTAAACTGTAGTATAACATCTACAGTACCTGTCCCAGCCTAGAACTAATATTGTTCGGCTTAGCACCAAGATCTGGGAAATTTCAACAGCTCGGTCCCTCCCAGCATTAAGTTGATGGTGGCAGTGTCCATTGAAGTCCCAAATCTGTAATTCAAATTTTAAAAATCAGTAATAATAACTAGGCCAGGCCTACCTAGTTATTAATATCTTGAAGTCTCATTTAACCTGATATTTTAAATTGTCAAATGTTAACCTTTAACCTGGGACAGGTTAACAGAAAACAATTTATTTTTTTATTTTAATAGAGAAGAGAAGAAGAGATTAGATTTATACCCCGCCCTTCACTTGGAGTCTCAGAGCGGCTTACAAACTCCTTTCCCTTCCCCTCCCCACAACAGACACCCTGTGAGGTAGGTGGGACTGAGAGAGCTCTGACACAAAATGCTCTTTTTCAAGGACAGCTGTGCCAGAGCTTGTGACTGACCCAAGGTCACATCAGCAGGTGAAAGTGGAGGAGTGGGGACTCAAACCCGGTTCTCCCAGATTAGAGTCCACACACTTAACCACTACACCAAACACCAGACAGATACGCTAGGGTTGTCAGCCTCTGGGGAGTGGGGGGGCTGGAGATCTACAGAGATCAGTTCCTCTGGGGGGGGAAATGGCTGCTTTGGAGGGTGGACTCTCCGGTATTATACCCTACCAAGGACCCTTCCCAGGTTCCACTCCCAAATCTCCAGGAATTTCCCACCCTGGAGTTGCCAACCCTAACACACACAAACACACTATTAAATATACTACTGTTATTGGCTATGCACACATTTCTAGTTGTGGCATATTGTACTACTCTGAGTTATGGCAGGTTGAGAGTAATGGTTTCATATTATCTATGGGAGACAATCTTCTTTTTGAGTTAGAATTCTACACCTGATTTGTTGCACTAATGCAAGCATTAGCCAATTCTATGTTTTTGCTACAGAACCTACCCTGCAGCCCCGGCATATGGCATACTTCTGGGCGGGTTCCTGTACTTTCAGGGGCAGATTTAGAGAGTACTTAATGGAGAAGGGAAAAGCGGTACAACCCATTTCTACAAACTCTCTCCATTCACAAGAGCTTGGATGTGATCCACTGACAGAAAACAGATTAATTTCATTTATGAAATGACAGGATTAGAAAATAATATATTTACAGAGAGCTGGCCCATAGAATTGCCAAGAGTTGGACACGACTGAAAGGCTAACAACAACATATTTACAGGACTCAATTCAGACAAAATTAATCAAGACTAAGTCCTGTTCAGAAATCAATGGAACAGATTAGTAGTCATGTCTAACTTAATAACTATTTCTTGCTGCATGACAGCCACAACTAATTTTAACTGGATTTGTGGCATTTTCATACAATGCCAGTTATCCTAACCCAGGATAGTGGACCTGTGATATTGTTCCCCTCACCCTTTCTCTGTCCGCTGTGGAGGGTTATCTTCTGCTGTGCAGCTGACTTCTTATGCACAAGACCAATGTTTTTTTTTAATGCAGCATTTGCACGTGCAGAAATTCTAATAACAAAGTATGTGAGTTCTGAGGCAGCCTTCACAATAGCTGAAGAGAAGTGTGAGGGGAACAATGCCACAGGATCCAGACTACTTTGTGTAATACCATGTTTGAACTTTATGCTCCACAATGTCTACACAAAACATTGTCTGTAGGAAGAACAAGTAGTCATCTAAAAATAAGAAGTAGAAAACATATTGGTCAACATCAAAATATGGAATCACCAGTAATAATCACTGCGTAGACAAGTTCCATATAACAGAACATTTAATTTTGTGTGTTGTAGGTAAATACTAATTTTTAAAAATGAAGGAGAGGAGAATGATGTAAGCTGCTTCACGTCCAATGCTCCCGCTAAGCTGTGGAGTCTTGTGAGCAAAACTTCTACTTTGTGAGCTACTGACATTAAAGTTGTGAGCAAGCAATTTGGCTACTGCATAAATTAGTTTGCTCTGGAGCCATCCTTCCTGAGCTAAGACAAATGTGTGAGCTAGGGTTGCCAAACCCCCTGGTTTGTCAGGGGTCCCCCGTTTTGGGGGGTTTCTACCCGCCGGCCGGCCAGATGGCCGGCAGGGGAAGCCCCACCCCCAACACCCACACCCACCCCTCTCTCTCTAAGTGTGTGGAACCCGTGTTTCCTCCCAAGCCTGTGTTTCCTCCCAAGCCCGGAGTGCCAGCTTCGTGCTCTTAAAAGGGAAACACGGCTGCTCTTAAAGGAGGAACACCAGCTCCTGCATTTAAAAGGGAAACACCGTCTCCTTTAAGGGCAGGGAACTGCCGTTTCTGGAGATCCGACGCACGGGCGGGTGGGGGAGGGGCTTCAGTTTCCTCCACCCATGCTGTTTCCCAAATCTGAAACAGCCCTGTTGAGCCACCATTTTCTCTTAAATGTAGAGGGAAAGAAGTGGTATAAATGAAGTAAATTAAATAAAATAAATTTAGATACAGCTCTGTTGGGGAGGGAAAAGACAGTTGGATTGTAAGACTGAATATCATGAATCCAATCTGTCCTGGGGAAACTCTTGCTAATCCTGTGTTAATTTGAACCCGTAGCTGTTTTCACTCATTTGCTGCTGGTTGGTGAAATATCTCACCTCTAGATCCAACATCTTTTATTTACAGGCATACTTGATATCCTGTCAAGTTAGCACTGTGATGTCATCAGCAAAATCATCTAGGGCTCAACAGTCAATCAGATTAAAGGACAGTGAGAGCAGAGACTAAAGAAATGGGAAACATGAAAAATATCCCAGGGAACAAAACAGCACAAAACATAGGGTTGCCAACTCTAGGATTCTGGGAGATCTCCAGGCCCCACTTGGAGACCGGTGACCCTGTTTAACAATATATCCATAAACAGCAAGCTAAAATTAACAACACCACACTCCTGCCTTTTAAATGAGACTTGTGTATCCACCCTGTAAAAACTAACATGAACTCGGGGCGTATTTTATCTTCTTCATGGCAATAAATCCTAGGTTTTTGCAACATTGCAACTCGAAATTGCCTGCTAGAGTAGCTGACGATCTGGAAATAAATAACTGGTGTTTATCATTTGTTTAGATTTCTTTTTTGGTCCTTTGCTAAGAGGGCACACGAAATCACATCTCATACATAAACCTGCTTGAGCACTGGAACCCCAAGGTCTTTCTAATTGCATCCAATTAAAACTGGAAAAGGTTTCTGAACATTCAACGGAATTAAGTGTTGTATTAAGCAAAGATCATCCAAATGCTTGAACTGCAGTTGTGGATCTGCATCGCTTTTAAGGCACTGTGAACCAGAGGTAAAAAAAAATCACCTTCCTTTTGCAAACAAGAAAAGACTGTACTGCAGGATACAGGTGGTTGGTTGCAGGACTCAATACACCTCCATAGCAAAAAAACAAAAACAAAAACCCTCACTATTCATAGATAATGAACATCTTGGGTGAAAACTGCAGCTTAGCTTAACCATTATAGTGTAGTGGTTAGAGTAGTAGGCAATAGCTGGGGATGCCCAGATTCAAATTCCTGCTTACTATGAAACTTACTGGGAGATGTGGAGGCAGTCATTTTCTCTTGGTCTAGCCTTTTCTGCAAGGACACGGAGCTCATGTATGACAGCTTGAGCTCCTTGGAGGAAGAAGGAACTTAAAAATGTAATACATTTGCTCTGGTGTGTCAATTTTCTACATGCAGGGAGTTTTTAAAGCGGTGGCCTTCAGAAACGGAATCCCCTGCGGCGATTCTGTCCCATCTCTGAAGGTGATGCCATGTGTTTTACACAATGTTTAGACCAGCTTGTTATCTATCCATTCCTTTCATTTATACTTCACTTTCCTCCCCTCAAGCCGCTTACATCACTCTCCCCTCCTCCATTTTATCCTCACAGCAACTCTGCAAGGTAGGTTAGGATTAGTGAGGGTGACTAAGCCAAAGGCACCCCAGCACGCTTTTGTGGCACTGATTTGAACCTCGGCCTCCCAGACCTTAGCTTGAAACTCTGAGCACTGCACCACACTGGCTCTCAATAATAGTTTATTTACTTTATTTATATCCTGCCTCGCCCCCCACCCCACCCAATGGTGCACTAATGGGGCTTACATTATTCTTCTCTCCCCCGTTTTATCCTCACAAGAACCCTGTGAGATAGGTTAGGCTGAGAGAGTGTGACTGGCCCAAAGTCACCCAGCCAGCTTCCATGGCAAAGTGAGGATTTGAACCTGGGTCTCCCAAATCCCAGTCTGACATTTTAACCAGTACACCAAGCAGTGTGTCCTTTCCTCGTGGTTTTACAATGCCAGCAGTTGATTGCTCTTGACTCCTGTTTAGTGCAAGTGGAGCTGCCCTCAGTGAAGGGAAAGCCTCTTGCCCCACACAGCAGCCTGATGTGCCCCATCAAAATCACTATGGGACTTTCTCCTCTGATATGTCCCCAGGAGAGCAATCAGCTGGTGGCCCCTGGCTCTAAAGATATCCAGCTGTCCTTGACCAGGGCCTTTTTGGTCACGGTGCCAACCTGGTGGAACTCTCAACAGTTTCCATTCTGCCTGGCACCCTCTCCTTGCTCTCCAGGCTTGCTCTGTTCCTCTTCCCCCACCCACCCACAAGGTGGCCGGCAGTCCAGAATGAGAAGTCATGTGAAATTCGCCATCTGATTCATTTAGATTTTTTGCATTAGTGCTGTTTATGTATTTTGTTCTGTGGTCCTTAACGTTTTTATTGAATGTTGTACATCACCCAGAGCCCTGCAGTAGCAGGGATTGGCCAATTCAGAAATAATAACAATAACAGTAATAATAATACCACCTTCTTTGGCCAGTGGACCCCCCAAGAATAGTCTGAGGGGTGGAGCCCTACACTGGAAGAGGAAACTGCTGATAATCACCCTCCCCTCTTCAGCAGGCAGAAATGCTTCCTGCAAGCCGAAAAGGAGGATAGGAGCCAAACCATAATACATTCCCTGCCACTCTTGTCACAGATACACTTCCCACTGTGTGCACATCTGTTTTGCCGCATGGCACCTCTGGTGCTGTGAAATGGCTCTTTCCCATACCTTCACTGTCCCATCGGTGCTTCCAGTGAAGAGTCTTGTCTCAGTCCCATCCAGAGCCATGGTACTGATCTCAGCATTCCCATGGCAACGTGTAAACTCTTTGGTTTTCTGCCCTGTATCAATCAGCCAGAAGATAACAGTTGACCCCGTATCGGAGGAGATTACCTAAGAAAAAGCAAGCACACACACACATACGTAAAAAAGTTTGGAGAGCCAATACGGCACAGTGGTTAGAGCATCAGATTAGGATCTGGAAGAAAGGCAGGGTATCAGTGACATAAATAAATAAATATAAATTAAAGTCTCATTTACTTCTTGTTCCTTCGTTACCATCGCAGATGTATGTGCACTTTCACTTATATAATTGCCCATGGCTGAAATGCAAATCCAAACAAGGGGGAAAAAATGGACATTGATTTTCTCATCTTCTTTCTTTCAACTCATTAAAACATTTATCTTCTTTCAAAAAAACTTTCCCTATTAAAGTTTATGGGCAGATTCTTATCCCATCTTTAAACACCCGCCTTCGCAGCGGGTGCCGTTTAACGAAAGAGTAATGATTTCACTGCGGTTATCATTTAACGGAGGAGAGCCTTGGTCCCTCAAAGGGTAATAATTGGGATTCAGAGGGGAGCAAAGTGCCCTTCACGCTGAGAATGCAGTGCCTTTCCAACAGGTCTTTGGAGGGTAGGCCAGACAAACTGCTCTGCAGTCTGTGGCGAGATAAGCCATCCCGACTTATCTTAGCAAATCGATCCATTGAGTAATGGATCTTAAAAGATGATCTAGGGAATGTCTCGGAATCCATTAGCTTCAATTTGGAATTTTATCCATGCAGTCAGATACTAGAAGTTGGAAGAAAGACCATCTGGACAGATAACGCTCTGTCCCTGCTGATGTCTGTGGCATGTTTCGTGGCTCATGAAAACGCATTCACTTCTTGCCCTGTCTTGCATGATTTATTATGGTACAGTCAACTCCCATCAGCCATATCTGATATTTATTTATTCAAACATTATGTCCCTGCCAAAAAGGGGCCCCAAAGTGGTTTGCATTAGTATATACAAGAATTATATGATATGTAAGGACCGACTCAGATACTAGCAGAGCTGCAAGGGAGCTGCTTCCATGTGGTAGGGTCCTATGCCATTCTGCTAACATATGTAAAGAACCACATCACAGCTTGGTACAGTTCCTCTTTACAGATGTTGCAAGACTAGAATGGGAAAGTGGTTTCAATGGTATTTAAAAAAGAGCCTTCCATTCTTAAATTAATAGACTTCTGGTCCATTTAACTAGGTCATAGATAGGGGTTTCTACTCACTGAAGGCTATTTTCACATTTTTCAAATATATCTGAGGGTTAGATTCAAATTCTAATCAGCAAAATGGGTAACAGAACACTCCTTCCACTCTAGCGAAGGCATTCTCAGCCATCTTAAAATGAATCTTTGAGGAGCTTACTTCTAACTTTACAGGACAATATTCAGCTCAGAGTCTAAGGGTGGCTTACAGTCCCCTTCCTCTCCCCACAACAGACCCCCTGTGAGGTAGGTGGGGCTGAGAGAGCTCTGAGAGAACTGTTCTTGAGAGAACGGCTCTGAGAGAACTGTGACTGGCCCAAGGTCACCCAGCTGGCTTCATGTGGAGGAGTGGGGAATCAAACCCAGTTCTCCAGATTAGAGTCCACCTCTCTTAACCACTACACCAAACTGGCTCTGATGATACTGATGGGAAAGGAAGAGTCATTAGGTTAGATCTGCCCTTATTGGTGGAACAAAGTTATCCTTGTCAGAGCCTGTTAAGAACTATGGGATGGATCATGATTTTGCCCTATCATTGGAGACTCAGGGTGGTACGTTTGCCAGTTACAAATGGTCTGTGAAATGTTTTTCTGCCAACTTCGCCACAGTAATACATGCACCTCTAAAGTCTTCAGCTGGACTACTGTGGTGCTTCCACTGAAATTACCTCAGGAAATTCAGTTAGGACAAAAAGGCGGCTGCCCACTTTTTGTCAAGAGTTTCATGTCATGAGCACATTATGCCAGAGTTAAAAGAGATTCAATTACTTGAATACTTCTGAGTTCCATTCAATGTGCTGGCTTTGACCTAGGATGCCCTTGACAGTCTGGGATCTGTGTACTGGAAGAGCAGTGCCTTCTTGCTAAGTTGTGTGGGGGGGGAGGTTGCCACCAAGTTGCAGCTGACGTATGTTGATCCCATAGGGTTTTTGAGTTAAGAGACATTCAGAGGTGGTTTGCCATTGCTTGCCTCCGTGTAGCAACCCTAGACTCCCCTGTTAGTCTCTCATCCAAATACTAACCAGGGCTGACCCTCTTTAGTTTCTGGAATGTGACAAGATCAACCCAGCGGTTCGAAAGCAACTTAATTGCAAGTAGATAAATGGGTACCCACCCTTAGTAGGGTGGGGGGCACCCTGCCTGTGTGGTGGTTGAAGATAGACGGCGACGGCGGCAGTGAGACATCAGCTCCGGTTTTGATGGCGTGAAGATGGCGGCGGCGGCAAGCGAGCGGGCGCAACCAGAGGAGCGATCCCTGGTGGCTAGAAGGCAGAACATCGAGTGACCGCCGCCGAGAAGGCCATGATGACGTCAAGAGCCGGCACAGCGGAGCCAGAAAGGACGCAGCTGAAACTGGAAGGAGACGGGAGTCGCGCGCCTCGAGAGAAGAAGGTTGCCGCCAGTCGCCAGACACCGAGGAGGGCCCCCGCCTGAGGAACCGACGGAACCAACAGGACCAACTACCAATCACCACCATAGGGGTGCCGGTAGGTTTCCCTGCCCCTTACAAATATATGTGGCCATAGTTAGGGTAGAAAAATGGTGACTAGCACCGAATTGTAAGCCGCTCAGAGACCCCCTGACAAGGGGTTCGAGTGGGATATAAAGTTGAATGTATAATAAATAAATATAGCTTGGGCTGTCCAGGTCACAGCTCCTGCTAGCTTAGATCAGCTCATAAAACTTTGTTGGTAGTTCCTTCAGTGAGAGCCCGATCTTTCTTTGTCATTATTCCAGCACTGTAGAACATCCTTCCAGAGGTCTGGAATGCTCTCTTTTTATTCTGGATGGCATGCAAAACTGTACTTTTAGTGGAACCGGTGTTATTTTGTTATTGAACTTTTTTTTTTTTGTATAAAGATTTTATTGACTCCCCTAAAAAGGGGAGGAGTTTCGCTTAAAAAGAAAGATAAGGAGGGTATATAGTGGGAGGAAGAGAAAGCTGAGTGATGTATTAACTGTTAGATTAAACTGTTAGTAATGTCCAATCATCAAAGGCTTCTTCTGCGTGTTGTCAAACATCTTTTTTCCATTCCAGTTACTTTCTATGTTAATTTGTTAGTAATGTTCCTTTGAATTTCTGTTAAAAAGTCTCTTCAGGGCACATTCAGAACCGCTTCTTTAACGCGCTGGTTACTTTTCCACTCTCAGTGACGGGAGGGGCTTCCTCTGTTTTTCTCTTGCCTCCGGTTTCTTCCCCTCCTCCTTCAGGTCGCTGTTAACGCTTTCAGTTCCTGTGCTGTAAGCCATCTTCCTTTCATGCCATGCCCGGAGATCTCCAGCTTTGAGAATGGTATTAATTTCAATTTCGCTTTTATCCGCTCCCAATCCCTTCGCTGGATTCTCCTCTTCAATTGTTGACTTTTATAAGCGCTCATGAGGCACTTTTTGCTGTCACAATTCAAGCTTTTCTTTTCCTTCACAATCCCCGTTGGATTCATAGCCATACACAGTCCAAATATTAAACAGCCGGCACTCACGTTGACGCAAACGCCCAGACGGAAGTCCCTCCCTTCTCCTCCGCTTGTCTTTACCCAGCTCCGACATCTTGTTTTTTTATTTCTAGTAAAGTTTTTAAAATGCGCTCCAGGGAAACAAAACCTCTTGCTTATTTTCAAGTACATCAAAGGAAAACATCACTATTCGCTCAGTCCATTCCCCCCCTCTTTTCTTTTTTTTCTTTCTCGCTTATAGAGGATTAACCTCCTCATTTTCCGCTGAAGGGGGGGGGAACGTTCTTAGTTCTTTTTCTCTATATTTTGACAACTCACAGTTACGCCAGTCTTTTCTTTTCCATTTTTTTCGGATATTCGCTTCATCACTCGGTGACACCCGGTGGTTCCGCTAAACCCCGCAGAACGGGGTCGCTCACGCAGCAAGGTCCAAAGGGGCAGGGCATGGCGAGAGTGTCAATCTCTGATCTTTCGACTGAAAGAGAGACTCCCCCCCTAGAACGCCCTAATGCGCCCCGGATCCGAGCTCCTCTCCCCTGAGGGGCTCGTTCGGGTCTCCGCTTGCGCGGATTCCCTCCTCCACCGCGGGCGGGCAAGACGCCCTCGGGAGCGACCCGAGGATGCGTCTGCCTTTTGCGGGAGCCAGACCGGAAGCCCCATTTTTGTTATTGAACTTGATTGGGCTGCTAGTTCCTGGGATCTGATGTTTTTATGACACATGGGTGTTTTGTTTAATTTAATGGAACTGTGGAAAACTGCTCCATCTTGGAGAAGAATACATTTTGAAATCAATTCGAACAGCATGGGTCAAGTGTCCTTCCTTTCAAAACAGTGGCAAGTGTATAGAAACTGCTTGTAGTCATAACAAGAGCTCTGACCCATACAATGGTGGCAGAAAGTGCCATCAAGTCGCACCTGATTTATGGTGACCCCTTAGGGTTTTCAAGGTAAGAGAGAACATAGATGGTTTGCCATTGCCTGACTCTGCGTAGCAACCACCAAACTTCCATGGTGGTCTCTCATCCAAGTACCAAACTGGGCTGACCCTGCTTAGCTTCTGAGATTTGCCAAGATCGTTAGCCTGGGCCACCCAGGTCAGGGTGGCCCCACAATATCTGTGCTATCTTATACAATACTTATACTACCTTACTATCTATACTTAACATACTGGGTTGAATCCAGATATTTTTCCACTCAATCCAACCCAGTCCCCTTCCTTACTACACTCCCCATCTAATATGGCTTTGTCTATGCAGGTGTCATAGCAGGAGTTGGAAGAAGCATGGGGTACTTTCTTTTCTTTTTTTGTTGTAAAAGGAGAACCCCTTCTCCTCCCCTTTTTTTTACCTGCTGAAAATCTAGTTGGATCAAGCCCATTATAACATTGGGTTGAATCTCACAGATCCATTC